ACCGAAATAAGTTCCCACTAGATTGTGGATGCCTTTCTTTCACTATCAGAGCCGAGATGAGCCGCGTCCCCCGAGAGCGCGTGCGCACTCCACTCGGAGCTTCGCATCCTCTCGAGCGCGCGCACGCGGCGCCCCTCTAACAGACATCTGTAGAGCTGCGGGCTGGGTGACACCCAACACATTTGCAAGGTTTTACAATCTGCGAGTGGAGCCGGTTTCCTCAAGGGTATTAGGTAACCCTTGGTGATTGAGGAAACAATTCGGTAGGGTGTTGAAACACGCTTGCTGCGCCATTTTCCCTAACACGGAGATACGTGCGCCTTTTTATCTGTCAGTAAAGTTCCCCGTCAGGTGAGCCCTGCAGATTCCTCCGTGGCCCCCAGCACTGACTCAGCGGAGGAGTCACTTGCTGGCCCACTACGTTGTAGGTCTGCCCGCTGGTCAGCCCGCGTTTTGGGTAAAGGTGTCTGCTATGCGTGGTCCCCACTAGGCGATCCCATATGCTTATTCAGCCACGGTTAAGTCCCCCCCCCCCTGGGCGGACCCGTGTCTTCCCTCCCCGCTAACCACTCTTTTGCTATGCGTACTCCCCCTTTTTTAGGGCTAGTCCATATGTAAATTCTGCCATCTATCCCCCCTTGGGTAACGGATGGCCTCCGCAGCGTCCTCCCTATCGGGATTGCACGCTTCCCAACGTACTGTCGTATTTCCTAGAATTATCTAGATGCTCACGACACCCCAAAAAATATATATAAATCCGTAAAACTTCTGTTGAAGTAGGATAAATTAGGGCCAGGGACACGTTGGAGGACCGCGCCCCCCATGATGTGGGTGCGTCACGCTTGCTTGACTATCTCCTCATCGGGGGTGTTGGTAAGGTGCAGTCATTATGGCGCTTTCAATGGGCTCCCAATGCGTGGATTTTACAATCAAATCCACTTATAGTGCTGAAGTTCCCCCCGAAGGGGAACGTTCGAGGTTACTAAAGTAACCCTTCGTTCCCCGAGGAGGGGAACGGAAGCACTATACTCCGTCGCCATAATGACTGTCCCTTAGCTGTTGAAAGTCTCTTCAGCTTAAAAAGGATAGCGTCTGCTGCGCCAGGTGAGCTTATATACTCAGTTGATTGCTTATGCCGCTCACCTGCGCAGGCTTGCGCTGCCAATTCATTCTTAATTGGCCCGTTCAATACTCTTTCAGACGAGTAGCTTCTGAACCGAACCTCCCAATGCGTGGATTTTACAATCAAATCCACTTATAGTGCTTCCGTTCCCCTCCTCGGGGAACGAAGGGTTACTTTAGTAACCTCGAACGTTTTATTACAGGAAGGCTATTTTCCGAGTTAGCATTTTCTCTGGAAAAGCTTTTAAGTCATGTTTCACACAGACACACACACAAAGAAAGTAAAAATCCCTTGCATGAATAAATATCATTTATGTTATATGTAATGTTTGCTTCGCTAATTGTCCCTTTGAAGACTAAAGCAGTCTGTTAGCCAAGCATATCATGTTCTCTACAAATTACTTGGGCCAATTACTTAATATACTGGATCCGGAAATGATTTGCTCGAACCAGGACTGCTAACACTCTTTCTGTATGCAGGCCTGGTATAATGCAATGCAGAAAATGCCTTAGCGCTTAGGCTACAGTGTGAGAGGGTCCAATTTCCCATCGAATATATTGCCAAGGGGGCGACACGGTGGCTCAGTGGTTAGCACTGCAGCAAGAAGATTGCTGGTTCGAGCCTCAGCTGGGTCAGTTGGCGTTACTGTGTGGAGTTTGCATGTTCTCCCTGTGTTGGCGTGGGTTTCCCCCACAGTCCAAAGACATGCACTATAGTAGAATTGGATGAACTTAATTGGCCGTAGTTTATGAGTGTGAATGAGTGTGTATTTCTGTTTCCCAGTACTGGGTTGCAGCTAGAAGGGCATCCGCTATGTAAAACTTGCTGGATAAGTTGGCGGTTCATTCCACTGTGGCGACCCCTGATCAATAAAGGGACTAAGCTGAAGGAAAATGATTGTCAATGCATTGGCAATAGTTGTCGGTTCATTCCACTGTGGTGATGTTTAAACTGCAGTTCTGCGATGTCAAGTAGAAATACAATAGTCTATTTTGGTGCTGTGCTATTGTTAGAAAGCCGAGCTCCAGCTGTTTTGCATTTGTTTGTGTTGTCGATGCGTATCTGTGACAGTGACGTATTCCGTTGCACTTTATTATCTTTATTTCACTTGAGCGCTGTCCTGAATATTTGCATGAGAGATAAAACGTGTGCGTAAGAGTTTTGCAATTTGCACATGTAACAGATGTGGTTTCCATAATCTGACGCACAGCGTGTGTGAGTGAAATAGTTTAAGGAATAAGGGGAAGAAAAATCACATGGCTGTTGGATGGAGGCCGATCTGAATGTGAAGTAAACATGTGGAGAAATCCCATCACAATATATATTCATTCACTCATTTTCCTAGGCTTAGTCACTTTATTCATTAGGGGTCGCAACAGCGGAATGAATTCATCCAGCATATGTTTTACGCTGCGGATGCCCTTCCAGTTGCAACCCAGTACTGGGAAACATCCATACACACTCATACACACACATAAACTACGAACAATTTAGTTTATTGAGTTCACCTATAGTGCATGTGTTTGGACTGTGGGGGAACTCAGAGCACCAGACGGAAACCCATGCCAACACGAGGAGAACATGCAAACTCCACACAGAAATCTTCTTGCTGTGAGGCGACAGCGCTAACCACTGGGCTACCGTGTCGCCCTTCTGCGGAGATATCCGAAATAATTTCGAGAGTATAGTAACTAAAAACTTAACACATGAAAAAAAACCCTCATATTTAAGGTTTACAGTGCAAATCCAATTAGAACCACTTGTTTGGTGGACAAAGCAAGTCATTCATATAATATATATGTGAAAAGACAGAAAATATGACTATAACAAACTACAAAAACCATATAATTATTGCGTAGTACTCAATAATAGAACTGAAATGAATATTCATATATTGACTTTCCTTCAGCTTAGTCCCTTTATTAATCTGAGGTCACCACAGCAGAATGAACCGCCAACTTTTCCAGTACATGTTTTACTCAGCGGATTCCTTTCCAGCTGCAACCCATCACTGACAAACATCTATACACTCTCATTTACGCACATACACTACAGACAAATTTAGCTTAACCAATTCAACTATACGGCATGTCTTTGGAGTTGTGGGGGAAACCGGAGCACCTGGAAGAAACCCACACCAACACTGGGAGAGCATGCAAACTCCACACAGAAACGCCAACCGACTCAGCCGAAGCTTGAACCAGTGTCCTTCTTGCTGTGAGGCGAACAGTAATCTCATAATTATGCAGATTACTGTGCGCACAGATTTTGGGCCCTATCATACACCGAACGCAATGCGGGACGCAATTGTTGTTTGCTAGTTTCAGCTTGGCCCAAGAGTCGTTTTTAGGTTTTGCGCCACGCTGCTTAAAAAGCAAATGCATTTGCGCTCATATGTGGGCTCATAGGCGTTCTGGTCTAATAAAGGAGGCGTGTTGAGGCGCATTGTTGGTGCATGGCTATTTTGAGGAACTTAAATAGACGGTACAATTCATCAGATCAAAGCTTGTCTAATGTCCAGCACAGAGCGCATTAGTTGTGCGCCTCGCTTACACATTGCTTAATACACACAGGATGTACAGCAATACACAAATATCTTTACAAATTAAAGAATTAAAATATTACTAAAAATATTATTTTCTAACCTACATAAATATAAAAACCCTACTTTCATGCCTTTTTCATCTCTGCTGGCTTTTTCAGTTCATTCATAACAATTGGCTTTTGTTTAATGTTATTATTTTTAGTAGTAGTATTTATTATATGCATATTTATTTTTGTTTTATTAAAAACAAGCTTAAACCCTTAAACCCTATTCATACTTTTAACTCAGTATTTAAAATGATAATGTCAGTCGACACAAAGGACATTCTTCACTTGAGGTTTCCTAAAATGCCTTTTTGATGGCAATAACTGAAATCTTATATTTAATCGATGGGAACAATCTTCAATAATGACAAATTCTGTATTTTGTGATTGATGTTTTGATTTTGTCCTGTTTATTCATGTGTTTGAATAGTCTTTGGGAGCTTGATCTTTCTTCCAACAACTTTTAACCTTGAAACATTTAAAAAAAAAAGGGACATTTTTAATAGTTTAAGGTGAAATATTGTCTGGGTTGGTGTATAAACCTTGTAATATTTATTTTATTTTCTGTTATTTTACAGACTTCTTTCTCTAAATAGTGTGTTATGCACTTCTAAAATGTCAATAAAAGTCACTTTATAAACTGTAGAGTTGAATTTTAAACATCAAAAGCTGACAGAACAAAGGTCAAGCTCCCATCATGCAGTTCACAACTGTAAATAAACCAAAACACCTGTGAATCACAAAATAAATAAACTGTTTATTAACAGATATACAGCTGAAGTCAGAATTATTAGCCCCCCTGAATTATTAGCCCCCCCCCCTGTTTATTTTTCCCTAATTTCTGTTTAACGCAGAGAGATTTTGTTTAACACATTTATAAACAAAATAGTTTAATAACTCATTTCTAATAATAACGATGGTTTGTTCTGTAGACTATCGAAAAAATATAGCTTAAAGGGGCTAATAAATTTGACCCCAAAATGCCTTTTAAAAAATCAAAAACTGCATTTATTCTAGCCGAAATACAACAAATAAGACTTTCTCCAGAAGAAAAAATATTATCAGACATACTGTGAAAATTTCCTTGCTCTCTTAAACATCATTTGAGAAACATTTAAAAAAGAAAAAAAAAATTAAAGGGGGCTAATAATTCTGACTTCAACTGTATATATAATACAGTGTGGCTATAGAGGAAGCCAATGCATTTGTATTTATAGAACTCAACAATATTGTCTATTTCATTGTCGATTTCAAGTGTTTGACACTGCTCTTGTCCATTCACGTGCAGGTCACGAAGGCGACCCTTGCCTGCGATCGTCCGACTGCTCGGAGGGCTACTGCTGCGCCCGCCACTTCTGGACCAAAATCTGCAAGCCCGTCCTGCGGCAGGGGGAAGTCTGCACCAAACAGCGCAAAAAAGGCTCCCACGGCCTGGAGATCTTCCAGCGCTGCGACTGTGCCAAAGGACTAGCCTGCAAGGTATGGAAAGACGCCACCTCATTCTCCAGATCCAGGCTGCACGTGTGCCAGAGGATCTAAGAAGGGACGTTCCATACAAAACAAGCAGCACCTTGAGGGCCCTGCGTCGGACTCCTTTTCTGCAGGACTTACTTAGCTGTGATAAAGAGTGAGATACAGATGAATGTGTGCCAGAACAGGGTGGGTTTAGGACGGGAATGAAGCGAAACAGCGGATACTCAGTGTGATGCACTCCGGGCATCTTTTCTGGAGGTTTCAATGATTTACAAGCCATATTTATCTCTGGTAGAGGGCTGGGATTGATGGTTTTAGTGTCTTCTCGGATCTGAATGCTCTGATTTGTTTTTGTTTTGTCAAGAAAAATATTCCATGCACATTTTTTATTACATAACCACTTTAATATCAAGAGCGATTAGTTACTTTATTTTAAAAAAAGAACTGAAAAACTGTTTTTATTAAAAGCGACAAGTTGATTTTACTTAAATAAGAATAAAAAAAGAAAATCTGTTGGGACAGATCAGATCAGTTGACTTAATTTTTATAAATATGCACGTAGTTAATTGAACCTAATCTTTTTTAATGCAACTGGATTACTCACTTTTTATATGTTAAGTCGACAAATCACTTTTAAAGCAATAAGATTTCTTATTTTCTTATTTTAAAGCAACAAGTTTTCTCATTTTCTTTAGCCAAAATCTCTTAGATAAAGTGAAAAAATCGAATATATCTTGGAACAGTTGAGTTGGCTTAACTTAATCTTTATAATTATGCACACTTTATTTACCTAATTATTTTAATGCAACAAAATTACACACTTTTATTATGTTAAGTCAACTAATCGCTTTTAAAGCAAAATGTTTTCTTATTTTCTTTAGCCTAAAGTCAATTTCTTGCTTTAAAAAAGTGAGAAAATCTGTTGTATCTTAGAACAGTTAACTTAATATTTAGAATTATGCATATATTAATTTACCTAATCGTTTTAATGCATGCAGATTACTCACTTTTATTATGTAACTCAACTAATCGTTTTTAAAGCAACAATTTTTTTAACTTTTTTTTTTGAGTAAAGCCAACTTCTCGCTTTAAAACCCTAAGAAAATCTGTGGATACTTACAACAGTTGAGTTGACTTAATTTTTGTATTTATGCAGTTCTTTAACCTAATCGTTTTAAGGCAACAAAATACTCATTTTTATTATGTTCACTCAATCAATTGTTTTTAAAGCAACACGTTATCTCATTTTCTTTAGCTGAAAGTCAACCTATCTCTTAAAAAAGTGAGAAAATCTGTTTGGAATTGTTGAGTTGACTTAATTTTTATAATTATGCTCATAGTTCATTTACCTAATCATTTTAATGCCATGAGATTACTCACTTTTATTATGTCAACTAATCGCTTTTCAAGCAACAGGTTTTCTCACTTTTTTGAGTAAAGTCAACTTATCGCTTTAAAAAAGTGAGAAAATCAGTTGTATCTTGGAACAGTTGAGTTGAATTAACTTAATTTTTTAAATTATGCACAGTTCTTTAACCTAATTATTTTAATACAAGATTACTCACTTTTATTATGTTAAGTCATCTATTTGCTTTTAAAGCAACAGGTTTTCTCACTTTTTTAAATATCACATCATTTTAAAATATTGAGAAAAACTGTTGTGTCTTCACTGTAAACATTTTAAGGCAACCAGCTTTAGGACATTTGAGTTTACTCAACCTAAATCGAGTCAAGTGCAGTACTTGGGTTGAAAGCTGGTTGCCTTAAAATTTTAAGCTGAGTCAAAAATATTTTTTAGAACTTATTTTTTAGAATTATGCACAGTTCTTTAACCTAATCATTTTAATGCAACGAAATGACATACTTTTATTATATTACTCAACTAATCGCTTGTAAAGCAACAGGTTTGCTCACTTTCTTTAGAGTAAACTTAACTTACTGCTAAAAAAAGTGAGAAAATTAGATGTATCTTGAAACAGTTGAGTTGACTTAACTTAATTTCTATAAATATGCACAGATTATTTACTTCATCGTTTTAAAGCATGGAGATTACTCACTTTTATTATGTTAAGTCAACTAATGGCTTTTAAAGCAACCGGTTTTCTCACTTTCTTTAGAATAAAGTCAACGTATTGCTTTAAAACACTAAAAAAATCTGTAGTATCTTGGAAAAGTTGAGTTGACTTGTGAAGTTTCATAAACTAATTACGAGCGGAGCACGTGATATGATTGTGCACCACTGGCCACTCATTTGTAATCAGTAATAATCCAATCAGAATGATCCTAGCTTAACATAAACAGATCACTTTCTCCTTATTGCTCTATCTTCGTTTTGGAAGAATCCCCCCTTCCACCCCATCTCCTCCTTTTTCTCCCCTTCTGAAGGGGGAGTGATCGAGACCTACCTGATCTCGGATCTCCTGATATGCTTCTAGACCGGGCGGGAGCCCTGGGCTCAAATATCTCCAAGCTCAGGGTTCTCTCCCTGGACAGCATGCCAAACCTGCTGTAAATGTCAAGCATATCTAAGTGAAATACTTTTGAAAGCTTAATTTTTGTAAATATGGACAGTTAACCCTAGTCATTTTAAGGCAACAAGATTACTCTCTTTTATAATGTTAACTCAACTAATCGCTTGTAAAGCAACAGGTTTTCTCCTTTTTTTTTTTTTAGAGTAAAGTCAACTTATCACTTTAAAAGCTATTTTTTAATTCATTTTTTAAGATTAAAGTCAACTAATCGCTTTATACAGCAAAGTTTTATTTTTGCTGCATAAATACACATCGGGTCTCGTTCATTATCATCGTGTTATGAAAATGCCGTTTTAACTTCCTTTATTTTAGTTTGGTTTTTGTAGACTAGAATTCAGACATCTGCCCTTCTGAAAGTGCACTTTTGAGTTTGCTTGTGTGACGCATAAAACCCAAACCGAAGAATATATGTTCAAGATACCCTCTTGTTAGGAATATGATCATTAGATTTGCGCAATAGTCATAGATGAGATCAGAAATACTAAATCAGTTCTGATAATCGAGGAAAGTTGTTTACAGATTGAATGCTGTTCAGTGAATGTGCAAATGCTTTTATGACTTCATGAATCATACTCCATACTTTTGCTCTGTAAAAACTCTACACCGGCTTTAGCTAGAATATTAAAAAAATACAAAATAAAAAAAACTAATAAGCTCTTATATTGTAAATAAAAAACAAATTTCAAAAATGTATTTAAGAAAAAGTTGTATATCATGTATATATTGGTAAAAAGAACAGAGGGGGACGTGAATAAAGTAGCATAAAACACTTGTTTTAAACTTTTTTACTTGTCATAGCATGGTGTTTTCTGTTTTATTCAGTTTTTTACAGCGCAGATATGAAAATCCACATGCAGAATTATTTCTATTAAATTATTTTCAAGCCATGTTCCTTCACAGAGCTCATGTTGTATGTGTGTTCAATGTCTGCTTTCCGCCATGTAGAAATTTGATATATGGTAATATATGCAAATCACATATGCTAAATAAACATGTTTGTATTTCGCATATATAAAATATCTATATATATTTCAAAATGTTGCAAAAAATGGGTATTTACAACATATTTTGTATATATGTGTTCATATATATTAGCTACAGTTTCATATATATGTTCATAAATAGCCATATATCAGATTTCCATATGGGCCTGGCTTAGTCTTTATTTGTTTCTGTTTTAACAGTGCTGTTATGTCTTGTGTATTTACAGTGATTAAAGCAGATTAAAGAATGTATTTTGTATTACAAGCATTCTGCTGGTCTTGTGTTTACAGCTCTGATTTATACTGATATGAATGATGTCTGTTTACTAAACTAGAACCAATTAATATAAATGCTGATATGTATTCTGGTTACAAAAACAAAAGGCAAATATAGAAGATAACTACCATTATTTTTAAACCTAAAATGCAGAATACAAAGAAACTACCCAGCACGTCAACGTAATGTCAGATTGATATCGTGGGGAGGTTGCATTTTGGGTGGAAATGAAAATCAAGTTGACGTCAGAACCCAATGTCAGGCCGACATCAATATCCAATGTCAAAAATTATGGTCACTTTCCACTGTAACCTAAAAACAATCAAATATCAACGTATAATGATGTTACGGCTTGGCGTTTGGTGAATGTTACCACTATGACGTCTATCAGACGTTGGGTTTTGGTTGCCATACTTGACGCATAAATCAATATGCATTTGACATCAATATGATGTTTGTTTAAGATGTTGACTCAACGTTAGATTTTGGTCACTTTCCAATGTAACCTGAAAACAACCAAATATCAACGTCTAATAATGTTACAGCTTGACGTTGTGTGGACGTTACCACTATGACGTCTATCAGACGTTTGGTTTTTGGTTGCCATACCTTATGCATAAATGTCAGTATTTGACATCAGTATGTTGTTGGTTTAAGATGTTGGCTCAACGTTGGGTTTTGGTCACTTTCCAATGTAACCTGAAAACAATCAAATATCAACGTCTAATGATTTAACAGCTTGACGTTGTGTGGACGTTACCTCTATGATGTTTATCAAATGTTGGATTTTGAGTGCCGTACCTGACAATAAAATTCAGTATTTGATGTCAATATGACGTTGGTTTAAGATGTTGGCTCAACGTTGGATTTTGGTCACTTATCAACGTAAACTAAAAACAACCAAATATCAGCGTCTAATGATGTTACAGCTTGATGTTGTGTGGATGTTATCACTAAGACGTCTATCAGACGTTGGATTTTGCTTGCCATATCTGACGCATAAATCAATATGTATTTGACATCAGTATGACGTTGGTTTAAGATGTTTTTTCTATGTTAGATTTTGGTCACTTACCAACGCAACCTAAAAACAACCAAATATCAACGTCTAATAATGTTACAGCTTGACGTTGTGTGGACATTACCACTATGACGTCTCTCAGATGTTGGATTTTATTTGCCATACTTGATGCATAAATGTCAGTATTTGACGTCAATATGACGTTGGTTTAAGATGTTGGCCCGACATTGGATTTTTGGTCATTTACCAACACAACCTACAAACAACCAAATATCAACATCTAATGTCGTTACAGCTTGACGTGTGGATGTTATCAATATGACGTCTATCAGACGTTGGATTTTGGTTGCCATACCTGACGAATAAATGTCAGTACCTGACATCAATATGACATTGGTTTAAGATGTTGGCTCAACGTTGGATTTTGGTCACTTATCAACGTAACCTAAAAACAACCAAATATCAGCGTCTAATGATGTTACAGCTTGATGTTGTGTGGATGTTATTACTAAGACATCTAGCAAACGTTGGATTTTGCTTGCCATATCTGA